CTTGCGTGGGTTGGTGTCGGCAACGCGGTAGTTAGAAAGCGCGTTTTCGGTTGTGCAACGGGTACTTCCATTGAAGAATATGTCCAGCACCAGAAACTGCGTTGGTTGGGACATGTGGTGCGTATGCCGAACCATCGCTTGCCGCAGAGAGTGAGTGCTGTTTTCCATGCCCAATTCAGGGTGGCGTAAACAGAGAGGTGGCCAACCCTTGACTTGGCAGAGGAGTATAAAGGAGATCACGAAACGCTTGGGTGCTGTCGGTACTGCCTTCTAGGATGGGGACCGCGTGATTCTCACTGTCCGGTTAGAGACACTACAAGATATGGCTGCCAACCGATGTCACTGGTGACCTTGTTGTCAGTTTCTATCCAGATCGCCTGAGTGAATGTCTGGGGTCGTAGGCACCTTGGAATGATTGTGGTAAGCTTGCACTAGGTCACTTCCCTGTCACTGTTAAAGGCAGTGAGCCATCAGTGTTGAACACTGGTTTCATGCTTCGATAATAATAATGATGGTTTATTTCAGAGTAAAATTGGAAAGTAATGCAGATTTCCATCACGATGATCTACAAAAAATCAATAAAACAATAAAAAACACTCAGCAAGTAATCAGGCATCTCAGGTAGTTTGCAACAAACCTGCAGATGAAACGTATTTTTGTAATTTATCATTGTTACCTTCGTCAACTGTAAGAATCGCAAACTTGCCGTACAGTGGTTATAACCGCACAGTTCCGTTCACCGGTGATTTGGGGAGACAGGATAAGTCGTTGCGCATTGGAGGCGGTAGCTGATATAACTGATGCGGAAATACAAGGTTGTCGATGGGATTTCAGTTGGAGAGCTTTGGAGGGGAGCCATGCATTGAAAGCAATAGCTTGGATGCATGAGCGCCACTGAGGGCGCGACTGGACAACATCTGACAGTCTCTGACCACTGATGTATTCAATCTCGGAGTCTTCATCCAGGAAGACGGGAATGACCATCGCAGTTGAGTTTGTTGGAATGGCTTCCACATTTTGCAAAGTCGATGGTTTTCAAGAATTTTCTTCAGCACAACTGAGAATGTTATAAATTCGCGATGTTTTGATATAATAGTATATGTTCTTGCACATCACGCTCAAAGATTGTATATTCCCAGAAAATTTGAAAACGCTCCTTTTCTTTTCTTGATAATTATTTGGGATAACGCCGCATAACTGTGCTAGGTAGATCATGACCTTTTGAACTCTTGACATAATGTACCTGTTTTTGACCACATTGCTTCCGCCAGGAAAAGAAGGACCAGTTGATGGCAGTTGACAAAATGTTCGGGAGACCAAGCACCCCAATCGCAGTGAAGAAGTCCACAAGGGAGATCCATCAGCAACTGTATAAACCAATGGAACATGTGAAAGGGCGAGCGTTTCCGAACCGCCAACTGACTATCTACGTCGTTGCAGATCCAACAGGTTAGAAACGCTATTTACACAAACTACTTGGTGCTCGATTTCAGTAGAGATTAGAAGCCAGCAAAACTTAGGCAAGCTCACCCAAGTTGGCAACTGAAAACAGTTGAGAGAGAATAAAAACTCTCACTGTGTTCACACGCGTAGGAATGACATTTTATCAAATTTCGAGACGCCCACCTTTGATAACAGGAACAAGTTTTTATGAAAAAACAGTCGCTGTTTGTAGCACCAGGTAGAGGCGGTGAACTATGAATAAGGGTGAAAACGAATTTCCGACTTAGCTCCCACAGGTGGGATTTATTGTTTATTGCCCGAGTGAGAACCAAGTAAGCACCTCCGAAAATCAGGTTTTGGTGAGGATTTTCTCGTGCGCTTACTTTAAAGATGCTTTTGAAAAGACGACCAAGTGTAATAATTGCTCGTCAAACCTGGATCACACAAAATATCTTCAACAAATGCTTTCACTCATAGATCAGTAGCTTCTTCGATTTGTTCCTATTGAGTGTTCTCATTCGTGTTCTGTGCCTCAAAAGTGTGAGTTCACGGACCATAAAAACGGATGAAATTTCACTGCAACCCAAGGCGTCTTAACACATTTGCGTGTCATCGCTTAGCTTATCTATTCAGGCTGAGTGGTCTGCAGGCACAAATTCTACAAGGGCGGTTTATTTTGCTCAGTCCGAGCGGTTAATTGGCAGAAGTCTGACCGGATACTTTGTTACATGTGAATGTCGAATTATATAAAAGTGGTCTAGTAAATTCAATCAATCGGAAACCCCAATCAACGTGCTTACTCACTCTCTTGGCCTGACGAAGCTTTCGTGTCAAAAGCCAAACGTTGCCCAGCAATAAATCCACCGATTGTTTACAAAACCTGTGTGGTCTGGTCGACTCTAGGTATGTGCCATTCAGGACGGGGACCGCATGATCCTCACTGCGCCTGGTCGGAGACGCTGCAAGATACGGCTACCGACCGATATCAGTGTCGATCTTGTTGTCAGTTTCTATCCAGATTGCCTGAACGAGTGTTTGGAGGTATAGGCACCTCGAAATGATTGTAGTAAGCTAGCACTAGGTCCCTTTCTCGTTCACCTTTATCCTTTTCTTCACAAAAAGGCTTTCAAATAAATCATGAATGTACGGTAGTGAAGCATCGGTTTTGAACACTCATGTCATGCTCCGATGATGCTGATGATGATGACGATGATGATGATGATGATGCAGATGATGATGATGATGATGATGATGATGATGATGATGATGATGATGATGAAGATGATGATGATGCAGATGATGATGATGATGAAGATGATGATGATGATGATGATGATGTGCACCCAAGGTGCTTGTGATCAGACAGCAACGCTGCTGCGTTGCAGTCAGGTAGCTGTTTCCTCATACAGGTGTGCTCTTGTGGGCAATAACGATGACGGAATGGAAATTTCTTAAAATACAGTAAACTACTTTTGATAGCTGATTTTCAGGTGATGTTGAGACCCAATTCGATCCATGCAGAGCAGCACTGTGAGGGTTTCTGTAATTTATCATTTGTATTTATCATCCCCCCAAATACTCGCAGAATTAGATTGGTCCTGTCAAACAGGAAATACTTGATAAATGCACTTATTTGCAAATCAACTTGGTTTTCATGGGGGACTCAGCTGAATCATTCGTTGATGATATCCTTCAAATGAATGTGTGAATAGGTTCCTTTATGAAACTACACTGCGATATCTCGAATATCGTACCAGCTGAAACGCGAAACAGCCTGTGTGCAGCGCATTCAGTTGAAGCACATCACGATCGAGAGATTTAGTTGAATCCCCCTTGAAAACCCAGCTGATACGCAAACGAGTAAATTTGTGGCAAACTTGTTTTGATTCAGTGCGATAGTAACTGCCAAAATCAGTTCCCTGGCCGAGTAGAACGCTAATTTCAAGCATGCTTTACTACAAAAGCTATGCGTACACCGTTACGTGTCCATCCTAACAAGTAAATTTTTGGGGCCGCAGGTATTGCTAGCCATTATTTAAGCTTAGTGAACAATCCTTGTCTAAAAAATCCCTCCTTCAGATCACTCGGTAACCAAAATGATATTTCGGCTGTAACACTCTTNCATCATGATCATCATCATCATCATCAGCAGCAGCAGCAGCAGCAGCAGCAGCAGCACCACCACCATCATCATCATCATCAATCATCATCATCATCATCCGAATCATCATCATCATCATCATCATCATCATCATCCGAATCATCATCATCGTCGTCATCATCATCATCGTCATCCGAATCATCATCATTATCATCATCCGAATCATCATCATCATCATCATCATCGTCATCATCATCATCATCATCAGCAGCGGCAGCATCATCGAAGCATGACATGAGTGTTCAACACCGATTCTTCACTACCGTACATTCATGATTTATTTGAAAGCCTTTTTGTGAAGAAAAGAATAAAGGTGAACGAGAAAGGGACCTATTGCTAGCTTACTACAATCATTTCGAGGTGCGTATACCTCCAGACACTCGTTCAGGCAATCTGGATAGAAACTGACAACAAGATCGACACTGATATCGGTCGGCAGCCATATCTTGCAGCGTCTCCGACCAGGCGCAGTGAGGATCATGCGGTCCCCATCTTGGAAGGCGAATAGCACCGACAGTCCGTACTGTAGCTTGATATACACGTCCCTTGAGATTCAGGTATACAGCACTTTGATGCCATAGGTGTTTCAAATTAGCAAACGCGACCCAAGCCTTGCAGATTCGTGCATCAACCTCATCTGACACACTGAAATCGGAACTAATACAACTTCCAAGATATGCAAAACGCTCCACAACTCCCAGTACCTATCCCTGGATTGTAAGTGGCGTGTTCGGTGACTGCATGTTCAGGAGCATGACCTTACACTTTGTGGGTGCAAAGATGCAAACGATGTTGTCTGCATATTCCAGATCGACAAGGTTTTCGTCACAGACTATTTGAACACCGGGGTTTTGGAGACCTTCCAGTGTTCGCATCATGATTTCATCGATCACAAAGTTAAACAGAAATGGGGAGAGTGGTTATCCTTGACGGACACCACTTTGTGTACGGGAGCTTTTGGAAAGCTTGTCGTATACTCTCACCGAAAAGAAAATCTGGGAATACAAAGGGCCTGTTGTGTTTACGAACTTCCGGGGCATTCTTGCTGAGCCGGATGAATCACGAAGACTGAGGTACTGTCAGGTCGCCCAAGCCTAGGCGAGGGTAACAGAGTTGGCAGGGTTGGATTCGAACCACGGACGTTCCGGTCGGTATGCCTCAAGAGTGATAGCAAGGGATTTTCGAAGTTTCAACGCTTCGGTTGGCAATATTTTGCTAGGACCAGCCCCTCATTTTCCTATTTTTTTCCAGGTTAGACGCAGCATTTTCAGATGAACAGGTGCAATTTTAGGCCATTAATATTGACACTAAGTGGTATAAAGTGTAATCTAATATGCTGCAAAGCAGGAAAGTGCATTCATTGTGAATAGAGTAAACTTTGACAAAACGCATGGATTCAGTCAGTCCGATACATTTCCAAATTTGGACTCCACTTCTCTCCAAGAATCCACAAAATCTGGCTGTAAGCCTCACCCCGTGCTGCCACTCTCACACACTTCTTGAATTGTCTGACAAACGCAGGACAGAAATAGGCATGTATATCCGGAGGTGCACCGCCGTCCTCATTCTGCACCGGTTCGAACATCGAGGATGAATTCATAATTTTCTCAAGGTGCATCATTTCAATCTGCGTAAGACCAAACCAATCATCTGCGCGATTTCTCAGGAACGCCAGAAATTCCGTGCCGTTTTTTCCTTTGGCAACATTACGAGCCCATGTCACCGTATCAAAGGGGCATTTCTTCCTAAATTCTTTCGATTCACTGCGTGGGCGGAGTGGCTTTGACAGCCAGTCTTCGTAGATGTGGCATCGGTTCAACTCAAAGGTCACGTTCGCCTGCAAAACCGGTATGATAGGAAAGTGCTGCAGAAAAGTACTGGTTATTCGATCACGATGATTTTTCATATAGCTACAACCAAACTGATATCTTTCTTGTCTTTTTGTTGAAAGCTGAAGTATATGTGACCCGGAATCTTTACAGTACTGTGCCGTGTACTCGTTCATTCGAACTGGAGGGAGACGGAGATAGTCACTATTGTATAAGTGCTCGTAGCGGATGGTACGGTCCGAGGATATGATGCTGGAGCTACCGTTGTAGATTTTACTTTGTTTGAAAAGTATCAGCCTCAATGGCCCATAGCGTGCCACATTTCCGTGACATGGTAGGAACTGTGGTTCCACTGTGGGCATCGGTCGACATCCAGTCTGCAGTTTCAGACATTCAGCTTCAATGTTTGCGGCTGCAAAGACAAGATAGCCATTGGACCATGTTTTGCCCGGGCTCAAACCATCCATATCCAAGACGAATAATGTGTAAAACCCATCATCCAACTCGTAGGCAGCTTCAACGAATACAACAGGTTGATTTAGCAACCCTCTAGAAGCATTTGTGATCCCAACGCCGCACCGGTCTGGATACTTTTTGAACCAGAGTTTGGGACAATCACAGGGGTTGTTTGCGCGTAAACAACAGCTGCACCGGTTAGTCTTAAATGCACATTTTCCGCCCGATATAAATGTGAGCACGAATGAGAACACGCAAAAGATATACACTGACATCGTGAGAGGAAAATCCAGCCGTTATCGTTGTACACACGCCCAGCGTTTGAACGATATTAGTGTTGAATAGGCGCTCGTTTGCAAAAACTGGCAGGTACTGGCTGTAACGAAAAGTAAAGTGAGCTAAAGCCGGAAAACGATGTGTTGCGGATTCAGACAAGCTGATTATTTTGAATCGACTTCGCTGATCCGGGCGTGACAGAACTGAGGATCTTCTTGCTTTGAACCTGTCAACAGGACTGTTCTCTATTCACGGAACAGTCGTGATGGTAAGAAGACTCGATGCAGCTCACTCTGTGGGTATTTCTCAAGTTGTGTTGTTAACCGGAAGTGCGTCAACAGACATGGTCGCTATTACGAGACAGTCACCTGACTGTTATTGATCTTCCTATCGACCAACTAGACGCGCCCGGTTGTGGACACGAACAGTCGACCAGTATGGACAAGGCAATGTTGCCGGAAACAGGAAATCCAAATCAGGTGGCATGGGACCGATGCGTCTGCAGTACCAGCGCTTGATGAAGGCGAGAAAAGTGACAGGAATGATTGTAACCAGAAGTGGAACTCTTTAGATTCGTAAACTAGGGTCAAACAGAGACTTCCTGACTTTACTAGCATCGGTTTCAAAAAATTCCTGTAGTGGGACGTTTTACCTTCCAAACTCTATCAGTAAGAGAACGCTTCGTGTCCAGTCGATGTGAGTGTGCTTACTGCACGCGCACGAATACCTGTCTCACGTGACCAACTCTGACAAAGCTGTCCACTGGTTCCCCATTTGATGATTGATTTGAGAAGTGTAGGGAAACGTGGATTAAAGTGTAAAATATTCCTATGACAAGTGACCAAGCAAACCACTCACGCCACGAGTATGTGGCTTTTCCGTGGTTTTATCAGTTGGAGAAACAGTATATTCATATCTTGTGTAACACGTTCTTTAACCTGTTTATTTTGGAAAGAAGACCGCGGTGGCAGCCCATTTAAATGTGTCTGTAAGAATCGTTGTACATCGCGATACATCACGGTCTTTTCTAATCCGTTCTTTGTTATACTACCAACTAGCGTTTTCCCTGTTTAGTGAGACGGTTAGATATGGTATCCGGAGTTCTACTTTGAGGACATTTCAATTTGAGTTGATGTCATTGCTAACAATAATAGAATGTGAACTTCCAAATTACACAGAGGTGAACCAGCCACCGAGAGTAAAACTCAGATACTCTTTTGTTTCTGGCTTGTTGACCTGCTCGCACAGTGTCTATACTGTTAGCTTAGCAAAGATGTTACCTTTATCTGTAATTCTGCTGAACTTTCATGCATTATTGAAGCAGGCGGGGGCAAGGAGAAGATCGCAGATGCTGTCAGTGTGTTTATGTGTGTAAAACGGAACAAGAATGATGAGTTGTGACACGGGTAGTACAATCTAGGCTGCCTACTGAAGATTCCTGATTTTGGAAGAAGAACTTCGCTGTGGAGTCCGACTGATCGGCCAACCTCTAGGAGGCTATGAGGCGGTTCAAGAAGACCAAGATGACACCTGGTTGTGACCCGACCGTGTTCTTCGCCATCCTGTAGCAGTCATTGGATCGGGCTTTGCCGAGACTGGAGGGACTGTCAATTCCGAGCACTTCTGGAGATTTCCACACCGAGACGATCTGGTCAGACAGCAACTGCTGGCGCAGTTATGGTTATATCAAGCACAAAATCTTTTGATGTAGCGGAATTGGGGTCTTAGCTAAGTTAGCGGGTTGTGATGGTTAAAAGGGGATTGAAAACTTGAACAGAACGTGGGTCTTCAGTCGATTCTGATAGCACGATATCATACCTTGCAGATTGTCATACACAGCTTAGCAGTAGCCAATCCATTCCGTTGATGCAATCTGAAAAACACTTATTTCTGGTGGATGACGTGAGTTTCGAACTCACGACCTCCGCCATGAGCGGTTGGTGAACAGTTTGATTAACTCTCGGCTTGACAGGATTGTTGTTTTTGACAGAAGACTCAACTGAATTTCTCGCTTAGGATAGCTTTCAAATACTTTTCAGAAGCCTTATGAGTAGAACATTAAAGGATCACCAAGTATGGCGGGAAAACAACGCATATGATAGCCATGGCGACCAGAATATGTATACCACAGCATCGGTAACCTATGGCGGATAGGAATGTGGCTGCTTTAATCTCACACACTGTACAAACGTTCTGTTGTGGTTCTCACGGACCACAAATGCTCGGTTGAATAGGCTGCGAAGTTGTATATGAATTTAACTAAGTTTTATCTCTTATGAAATGCCTAATGGTAAAGCACTGGCCTTGATTATCTGCAAAACGGTTGTTTTGTTTCAAATAAAAAAACACGCTGCCTTTTGTACTTCGTTCGACAAGATAAGCTGAATCATATTATTACTCCTATATGCGCAAGCTGAAGAGTCTGACAAGCCACAGTTGTGCAGAGGGTTGAAGGTCGTGAGCCATGTTGAAGCCCGGGGCTTTTTCCATAGAATATATTTCGAGTGACAAGACAGACAGAGAGACAGACAGACAGACAGACAGACAGACAGACAGACAGACAGACAGACAGACAGACAGACAGACAGACAGACAGACAGACAGACAGACAGACAGACAGACAGACAGACAGACAGACAGACAGACAGACAGACAGACAGACAGACAGACAGACAGACAGACAGACAGACAGACAGACAGACAGACAGACAGACAGACAGACAGACAGACAGACAGACAGACAGACAGACAGACAGACAGACAGACAGACAGACAGACAGACAGACAGGCAGGCAGGCAGGCGGAACTACCATAAAGGGAATCTGACATCAAATGGGCCAAGTTGAGTAGCGAGGAAGCCGTTTTGGAATAACATGTGGTGGCGGAGTTTTGCTTTTCAAGTTGAGCCTGTTTTGCTTAAAACTTGCAACTTGGTTTCAACAACCTTTCGTTCCAACTGAAACCGACTTGAATACTGTCGGCGGAAATCGAAATGGCATCCAAACGCCCTAACCTACAGTACAATTACGTAACTATTGTCAATTCTGTTTTTTCTCCGTTCAGACATGAGAATTGAACTGGCCACCCTGCGTCTCTATGTGTGGCCCCATCTGTTGCGTGCATGCCGGGCTCGTGGTTTCGCCTTACAGATCATTGACCAATCAGCTGGCACAGATGTTGATCCACCAAGCAGACCTGAACTAGAGGTCCAACAAACCCGTCAGATTTTTGACGAACATCTTAGTAAACGAAACGAGCTGAAGACCTATTTGAACTGCTTGGTACGTGATTATTTTGTTTTTATTTCGTGCCTTGATCTGTTTTTATCGAAAAAAAAACAGCCAACGAACCTGGTGAGCTCTTATCGTATGGGACAGTGTCCTAGTAAAGAGGTTCCAGCTGGAACCGATGACACTATAGTCAAAGACTGTGCTCCTACACAAGTTTTCTATCCACCTTAACGGTATATTTTAGTGTGCGTAGTCGCAGTTTTACGAACCAATATGAAAGGTGTTGTAGAAACAAAGAAAACATGCTCTCCCCACACAGAGATCGCCTTGAAGTAGGGCTAAGAATACTTTTTTTACGGTTCCCATGGCGATCTTAAAGGTAACCGTTCGTTCCACACTGATCTCAGGAGAGACCAAACTGTTAAAAATTCTGTTCTTCACAGTATTGAGGCTTTCTTCAGCTGAGAACTCTCTTGGAGATTATTCAGACGGTGTATGGTTACTAAATTAAGTGAGCTTTGAGACTGACGAAATGTAGTCACGTTTCTGTGGTCTGTTTCTCGTGAGTACTCAGAAAAAAATCATCAGGTTAATTAAAAGTTATCATCGCTTTTCACGATTACCCGTCATCGCAGATTCTGCTATCAAACCGCTCAGTTGGTCCGGTTCCCCGGCTTCCAGTAAAACTCAGAGAACAGACAATTTTGTATGTGAAGGAATCTGCTCAACGAGAGATTGTGTCCATTGGTGCAGAGGTGAAAGAACTCAAAAGACAACTTTACTCAGCCGATGCAAATCAGGAGCAAAAGGACCAGAAGGTAAGGAAAAGTTCATGATGTTTCCGTTCGTCATCCAGAGCAGGACTTTTAGCCAACTGACTCATTGCAAACAGAATTAAAATAACTCACAAGATTGCTAAAGACTCTTCAACAGTACCCGAACAGTTTCCATCAACCTTTTGTTCTACTTAGATATCCAGTTAGCCTAATTCATGAAACCAGTAGTCGATTGTCAAAAGAGTTTTTTTAACAACTCCATCAGTAGTGTACTCCGTCAAAAGAATTTACAGTGATATCTCAAATTCCATGCCATCTCAACCAGAAGATGGCCTTTATGCGGCACATTTTGATGAAGTACATCTGAAGAACGACTGAGAGATTCAACTCGGGGTCAGCTTAACAGTTCGCTACCGCCAATGTAAGTTGCAAAGGAGTGTAGTTATTGAGTGATGTTTATGTACTTTGTTTTGAAACCAGAATTTGTGACTGAGTAACGCACTGATTTTCCAATTTAGCTTTTACTATTGACTTGGTTCATGCATGACAGTACGCAGTGCGATCATAAGCGTTTTATCGAAACGAAGTCCTGGCAAGCAAATTTGCCACTCAAGTCTGTGCAATCAACACTTTTCAATGGGTATGGCTGATTACGTGAAAGTGTGTATCGCTAGTTGAGTCAAGGTAATTCGGCAAGAGGTGAGTTCAGACCATTCCGATTTGTTGACGCACTCCAAGAACTTCGATCCACGGTTCAACTGCAGTAACTACGCCTGTAGACGGTACTTTGCGCGGTAAAGCATAAAATGGGTGTCCTGTCAGGCAAATGTGTTTTGTTCAGTTTCTCTAAACCTCATGAAAACCCGAATATAATTGTATCGTTATGTCATTTCTGTTTAAAGTCACACGTTTTTAGGGCGATTAGAAGGTATGAACTCATTTGGCCACGACTAGCTAAGCACAGGCGCGAATAACAT